ATTTCACATAAAATTATGTTGACTTGCGGATGTGAGACCATGAGAGGAAGTTAATATATTTTAATAAGTTAATATATTTTAATAAGTTAATATATTTACTTGTTATTTAGAAAACGGACCTTATCTTAGGGGACTGACTTTACTCAGACCTGCTGTCTGTGACTCACAGATCTATTTCCAATCAATTCAACCCAACTAGAAGATTAGGTTCCTAGAACTAGGAACATTGCTAAAGGCATTCTGTCCTATAAATATAAAGTGATGTATTAGTCAGGGTTCTCCAGAGAAACACATACATGAAGAATTATTATAGGAATTAGCCAACACATGTTGTGGATGCTGAGAGGTCCCATAACCTGACGTCTGTAAACTGGAGACCCAGGAAAACTGGTAGTATAATCAGCTTAGTCCAAAGGCCCCAAAATGGGGAAGGAGGTGGGCAGGTAGGGTGCAGTGTGATGGTGCAAGTCCTGGTTTGAATCCAAAAGCCTGAGAAACAGGAGCACTGATGTCTGAGGACAGGAGAAGACAGATGTCCTAGCTCAAGCAGAAAGGCAATTCACCCTTCCTAGGGTTGCTCCAGTTGGGTGATGTGTTTATCACTAAGCTAGTTACTGTGGGAGAATGGGATGTTCTGGAATGCTTTAGTCCAGACGGCACGTGCAATGGGAGATGGAAGTATTTATCAAAGTAGTCACATGGATTGAATGTGGAGAAGGAGTCATTCCCTCCCAAGCACAGTCGTGTCCTGTTGTCATGAGAGGGGGCAGCTGAGGCTGGGTGGTAAATATCTCACAGGTGTCCATTACACTGGTGGTGGGGAGAGGGTGGCCAAGATCCCCAGAAACCTTGGCCAGGGTCTTGAGGGCCCTTCAGCTGATTTAGGAAACTGCATGAGATAGCCACAGGAAGCCCTTCAAGAGCATGATTGGAAATCAAGAGGCCACTCAGGCTGATTCAGAGCGAGCTCCCGCCTCGTGACACCCAGTGAGTTTATGAAGAAAGGGAATGACAGGAAGCCAGAAACGGCATCTACATTTGACCATCAGCCAACCACAGGAGTGGCATGTTGGGTGATGTGGTCAAAGAAGGATTGGCAAATTCTCTGATCAAAAAGATGAACACGATGGTTTTGTTTTATATTTATTTATATTTTTACCCCAGGGAATCCAATTTGTGGCCTTTCAAAGTGAGTGCCTTTGAGGTTTGGATGAATAGTTTTTCTTCTGTTGTTACAGTGAGCATCAGAGCCAGAAGTGCCAGACATTAGTGAAAGCTTTCCAAAGCCTGTAGTTCTGGTGAGGAGACCAGCTGCGGGGTGGGAGTGGCTGGAAACTAGGGGAGGGGATTAGAGCATGATGAGGTCTCTGTGATCCTTAGGAGATTTACAGTTTGGTTTAGTACTTAAAGATTATTTTTGGTCTAAAAGTAGATTTTCCCAAACCATTGTGTTGTTCCTAGATTCACCCTCGTCTGTGAGATTTCTGTTATTTCTTGCGGATTGTACCTGAGAATATTTTCTCTTTCATGTTTGTGTGTCCAAAATGTCATTCATTCATTCATTTTTCTCTCATTCATTCAATCAACCAACATTACACTGAGGGCTTCCTGAGGGAGAATCAATGTTTCATCTAGAGTAGGAAGATTTCACATCTACTCCCTCCCACTGCTTCCTTACCATTCCCATTGGTCGTCTAGCTGCCAACCAGCTGCTCATGGATGCCTCCTAGACATTTCAGAGCCAACATCTCCAACACCGAATTTTTGATACCTCTCACCCCACCAAAACCCTCTCCTCTTCTAGGCTTTCTCATCTCCCAAAACAGTGCCTCTGTCCACACACTGGCTCAAGCTAAAACCGTGGAGGCATTCTCAATGTTTCATTTGACTTCAAAACTAAATCTAAGCCAGCGCCTAGTAGACTCTCAATCAATATTGACCAGACTGACAGGTGGTTAAATGAGCTGGAGAATGAATGAACAATGCTTTGAGCTGCCACTCCAGCGGCACCATCTCAGCCCCTATAGGCATGGATGTGTGCTCATGTCATGGAGACAGCTTGAGTAAGTGTACAACTGAACACAGATTTTTACATTTTCAAAAACTCCTGCTATTTCTTGGAAACAGATTGTGTTTCTCTGATTGTCTATTAAGTTTATTTTTTTAGCCTGCTGAAGATTTTGGAACCCAACCAAAGTAATCTGCATTTCCATTTTTATATCTTAATTTATAAACGGCACCTTGTAATTTACAAGCACTCACTTAGTGTCACTAACGGAGCCGAAACAAATACCAACCCTGCCAAGTCTTCTCTCTGCACCTTTCCTTTCAGAACTTTCTAGTTTTCAGGCTGGAGAGGATGGGCTGGAGCCAGCCTGGCTTGGGGAGGGTAAGGACAGTAATAATGACATGTTACATTTATATAGGGAAGAGAGAGGAAGGTCTCATTGTCTCATGACTCCCACTTTATAGATGAGGAAATAGAAGCTGAGATGGGAGCGACATGACCAAGGTTTGCTGATGAGCGCTGGAGCCAGGCTTAGAGTGTGTATCTCTGGAACTCCTCATGCCAAGGGTCTTCCCAGCACACCAGGGCAGGCTCTCTCCACCTGGGCACTAGTGACATTTTGGGCTGCATCATTCTTTGTTTGCATTGCAGGATGTTTCGCAGCATCCCTGGCCTCTACCCTAGATGCCAGTAGCACCTATCTCACCGGGACAACCCAAAATATCTCCAGACATTGTCAAGTGTCACCCCTGACGGAGAGCCGCCGTGCTAGACTGTGTCCTGTCCTTGATTATAAAGAAGGCACACGGGTCAAGAAAACTCATCTCCTTTCATAGCCCCTCCCCCAACCCCTGCCGGTTCCCTCCAATCACAGACGTTAGCTGAGAATTGCCCTTTCCACCCTATCACTGAGAATTCTGAGCAGATACCGAGTACTCCTGTGTGGCACCAGGTGCTTTACCTTCTTGGTCACATTTAGCCCCCCAAAGTGGGCACAACGATCTCCGTTTTACAGGTGAGGAGACTGAGGCTTAAACATGTCACAGCTTGCCTGTGATTTCATAGTTAGTGAGTGGCATGCTGGGATGCTAACTCAAACCTGTCCAGTCCTGGGGGCAGAGAGCTTCCCTTCCCTGCCCTGCCTCCTCGCTCCACTCCAACACAGTGAGAACCAGGTTTTCTTTCTTGGCTCAGCAGGAAGGTACCGCATTAGAGAAGCCTTGTCCTCTCCTTCCCAGGAGCCCATCCCTCCAAAAGCAGGCATATTTCAGGCGCGAAGGACACACATCCATGATTGTGGTCCAAGTGCCTGTCGCCAATGGCCCTATCCAGGCCGTGGCCTGTGTCCTCCGCCCCAGCATTGGGCCTTGCTGAGTGAAGCATTTGATTTCCCCGGCTGTGGAATGCAAGCCAGCACAGCAGTGAGGCAGTTCTGGAGACGGAGCCTCCTGGCTCTGTCCGGGGGACTATGGGCAAGCGGGAAACATCTCTGAGCTCCATTTTCCCATCCATAAAATGGGAAGACCCACTTCTCAGGGAAGATGCGAGCATTAAATGATGATAAATGTAGACTGGTTCACACCAATGCTAGGTGCTGGATAAAGGCTTCCTGCAATGAAGGTCCAACTGCTTCCATTGTTACCTGCGACAGACTCACTTTCAATTCCCAAACCCCTTTGGCCAGTCTGTGTCCCCTGGTACTGTGTGCAGTTACTTCTTTAGGGCCACCTGCCCAGTTAGACTCCCCTGAGGGGAGGGCCTGTCCCTTTGCCCCCTCCCACAATGGCCAGCCCGAGACACGCTCAGAATGACTGCTGAAGAAGGGATGATAATGATGATTCCTACAGGAATAGCCTTTTGCAGCGGGTGCTGCCTTCTCTGGGTGTGTCTTAATGTAAGAACGGTTTGCCTTGGTGAGTAGCCTGATGACGGTGCCCTGGGATTCCCCACTCTGAGCCGTTCGGGCTATTAACCATCATTCTGGCTGTGCTTTGGCCATTTTCTTTGATTTCCCCAGGGGACAGTAACTTGCGGTAATAAGATGCAAGCTCAGTGGAGCCAACATGCAGAATGCAGGAGGGTGAAGCTCAGTAGGGCCTGGTTACCTATTCCCATCCCAGGCTCCAATCCCCACCTCTGCCCAGCCATTTACTCCTAAACCACCAACCAGTTACTGGTGCTTTCTGTGCCTCAGTTTCCTCACCAGTAAATCAAGAATATTAATAGGAAAGATGAAATGAACAACGCCTAGAATGCATCATGCACGAACTCTCTGTTAACAAGCACCCCAGTCCTTTAATTGGGGTGGGTGGGGTGCCAGAGAGCATGGAGTGAGGGGAAACTTTCCCTGCCTTTTTAGCTCTGCAGCAAGCAGCAGGCAGGCCCAGGGAGCAGGGGCGCACACTGCCGTGGCAGGCTTTCTTTTCGCCATCCCTTCCGCAGGGAAGGTGGCTGGCTTCAGCGACCCCACGGGTGTCCTGGGAATGGCAGCCAGACCCCACTGCCCGCCCCCCCCTCCCCGCAAATGACAAGCGATGCCATCCCGCCCAGCTCTATGGCAGCATTCGTTTCATTTCTTCTTTTTAAAAGCTGCTCAACATTCTGCACTCTTCAAAGCACCCAGGACGAAATCTCCCTCCCCCGTCTTCAAGCCAGTTCCTGGGTCCTACTCCCCCCCTCCCCCCCACCCCCCGCCCACCTGGTCAGGTTTGGCCCGGCAAAAAGCAAAAAGAGTTGATAAGGGACTGCGGGCACCCGGTTCACCCCTCCGCGGGCCCCAGGGGAGTCTCCGTCCAAGTCCGGCCCCTCCTCTAAGGTTACCCAACTTTTTCCTCTTCCCGCAGCTCCCGGGGAGGGTGCGGGAGGGTCCGGGGGGGTGGTGGCCCGGGGGGCGGGGCGCGGCCCCCTCGCTCTTGGGGCGGGCGCCCGCCCCGCAGTCTTCATTGGCCAGAGCGGGCTGCGGGCGCGAGTGCTGATGTCAGGCGGGGCGCGAGTGCGGCGGGCGCAGCGGCGGCCGCCCAGCAGCCCGGGCTCGGGTGGGGGGGCGCCGAGTGGGGGTGGCGGCCAGCATGCTGCTCGGCTGCGGCTCGGCCTCCCACACCCGCGGCGCCCTCGTCCTCGCCAGCAGCGGCGGCGGCGGCGGAGCAGCGAGCGGCGCCCGGGTCTGCAGAGGCGCCGGGTCCGAGCGCGCGGCGCGGCGGCGGGGACCGGGGCCGGGGCGGGGACCGGGGACCCGGCATGGCGCTGCGGAGGGGCGGCGGCGGGGCGCCCGGGCTGCAGCTGCTGCTGCTGCTGCTCAGCGCCGCGTGCCTGGTCCCGCCGAGCGCGCAGGTGAGGCGGCTGGCGCGCTGCCCCGCCACTTGCAGCTGCACCAAGGAGTCCATCATCTGCGTGGGCTCTTCCTGGGTGCCCAGGGTCGTGCCGGGCGACATCAGCTCCCTGTGAGTCAGTGGGACCCTCCAGCCCTGACCCCACTCCTTAGCGGGCTTCTCGGTGTTTGGGTGGGGGCGCGCTGTGGGTGGAGTCTCGGGCCCTGGGGAGGATGGAGGGGACCGAGATGCAGAGTCTGGGAACCCGGACAAGTCCCTGTAGAAGTGCTTCTCCGAGTGTGGCCCGCGGGCCCCCTGCATGGGACCCCCCCCCCCCAGCGGGGAGCTTGTGCCAGTGCAGATTCTGGGGCCCGCGTGGATTGCAGCAGGGGCTCTGGAGTGGGGCCCGAGGGTCTGCATGTGGCGTCCCCAGGGGATTCAGAGATGCACTAAAGTTTGAGAGGATGTGTGCGTTGGGGGGCGGGGGCAGTGTGGTGTGTGGGCATGCATATGCAGTGAGCGTGACTGGAGTGAGTGTACCCAGGAAGGGTGAGGCCTCACTGTCCCACCTCAAGTCTGGGCTGCGGTTTACACCGCGGCCTCATCCCGACACCTCTGCACAGCTCAGGATGGGAAGAACTGAGTCAAGTCATACAGCCTCCGGAAGGGGGAGGGGGATGCCCCCATGGAGCCTGGAAGAGGGGACACAGAGCTGGGAGAGCCTGGGGGCAGGTGGGGCACCCAGCCTCATGGTCAGGTGCTGGAAGTCAGCCTGACTTCCTGCCCCGAGTCCACACCGGCTTCTCCCCCCCTCTCCGCACCACATATTACATTGACTGCTTTTTCAATGATGGAGGAGCTGATGGGAAAAGGCTCCACCTCATTACCCACCTCCTAAGAGATGCTTTCAACCTGCCGGCACAGGGCCTCTCCAGCCCCACGCCCAGCTCTCCTAATGGCTGTGAAGGGGCTCCGGGCTCTATCTTTCCTGCTGGGAAATGTCTCCTGCTGACATGACTCCCTGCTCAGGCCAAGGTGCTGGGGATGCCCACTCCACGCAGAGGCAGGGAATTCCCAGGTGGAGCTGCTATGCTCAGGGCACTTCCTCTTGCACTACACTGCCCTGGGTAAGGCACAGAGGCCTGGACCCGGGAGTGAAGGGCTTCCTGTTTGCATTTTTAGAAAGTTAGGAGCCTGGCTGGCAGGCAAAGAGGGCCTTTTTGGTTCTTCATCTTGCTAAATCGGGTGACATGGAGGATCCCAGAAATTAGAATTCCCCTTGTTAAATCCTTTACACCAGCAGCTGCTTACTCTCTCTGCATGCCAACTGAAGTCATTCTGAAATCATGTGTTGAGGTCCTGCTGTGGCCAGAAAGGATGGGGTGGGGTGGGGTGTGCTGGTGGCAATAATAGAGCCAAGCCTCTTGTCCCCCCATAGACCGTTAAATCTGGCAGATGGCATTGCCTCCCGCTGCACATCCAAGTTCAGGTGTCTCAGAGTTTCCCCCCCAAGGCTTTCATGGTGCATTTAATCAGAAGTGCTCCGAGTGTCTTTCAGAGCTGGGCTCCCAAGGGGAACGCTTAATGCTACTCTGGAGCTTCGTGGGCCAACATTAAGGCTGTGTCTACACAAACAGAATCATGGGCAGAGGTGAAGTAATTATCCATTTGCAGCCAGGGCCTCCTGTAGTAGAGAAAAAGGAAGCAGGGGGATTGATTTACCCTGGCTGAGATAACGTCTGTGGAAGGAGCTAGCCTGATGGTAAAGGTTTCTGTTGTTCAGACTGGTTTTCATATTGATCCAGTTCCTTGGGACATAAACTTGACTGCCTTGTTCCTCCCCCGAGAAGCCCCGGGCCAGACTCATTCCTGAGCGGAGGCATTTGCAGTGCAGGTGGAGGCTAAGGCTGACTGCCCATCCTGCCCATAACTTCTCAAACCACCCAGGCCTTGTTTTGTTCCTCGCTTGCCTGCAGGAGCCTGGTAAATGGGACGTTCTCCGAGATCAAGGACCGAATGTTTTCCCACCTGCCTTCCTTGCAGCTGCTGTGAGTATGGCAAGTTCTCCCTGAAAATGGGAGTCCCCTGAGGTGTGGTCCTGGGAGGAGCGATCTCTGCGTCTTTGATATCAGTTCTTCCTAAGATGCTCAAGCTCATGAGTAGATCATGGCTGGTTCTTAGTGGTAACATGGGCTGTGGTGTTCCCACCAAGCTGGGGCTGAAGGCTCTTAGCTCGTGCCCTTTTCTTCTGGCACAAGGATTTGATTGTAGATCCCAGACCCCACATCTGGCAACTAGGAATGTGAGTCCATGGAATTTTGACTAGAGCTTCACCTAAATGAACTGTTTCTCTCACTTTAAGAGAAAACCTACAGTTTAAACTCTTAATGTTATTCTGGAAATAGCAGTGTTTCTAGTTGACTGAGCACATAAACTGTTGGGAAGCATACTATGCATTTATATGCAAAATTTTATTTAATCATCCTGTTATCCTGACAAGGAGGGAATCTTTATTTCCCCATTTGACAGATGAGAAAATTGAGGCCCAGAGAAGTTAAGTAACTTGCTCAAAATCACAGTCAGGATTCTAACCCACACTCATAACTGTTCTACATCCCAGCCCCTCTTGGCGAGTGCCTATGTCCTGCCCTGTTGCCCAGGTCAGTTCATGTTTGCTAATGAAATGTCCAGAAAGCAACTTTCAAAAGCAAATTATTGACAGGCAAAGTCATGAGTACATAGCACACTCTCTGTGTATGTATTGGGTTCATAAATTTGAGATGAATTAAAAGCAATATACTACAGAAAAACATAAAGAAATGGAATATGGATCACTACTCATCCTAAGTAGACTGATTGTTGATCTTTTTGTTCTTGAAATGTTATGTACCTACTTATAACATTAAATTCTGAAATTTCTTAATAACTCTAGTTCTATTAAAATATACTTTCCATAAATAGAAAAACAGTTTTAGGTACTTTACCCAATAGACTTAAGTGGTAACTATCTATTCCATATAAACTTTTACCAAGGAGACTTAGGTGTGACTCATAAAAAAACTATTGGTGCTAAAGAGTATTCTGAAGATTTCCTAAACTTTTTTTTATTATTATTTCTCATGGGAATGTATAATATAGTAGAAAGGTTTCTATTTATTTATTATTTATTTATTTTTATTTATTTAGGTCTCAGCTGTGTTACGTTGGTGAAGTTGCTTAACTTCTCTGGGCTCAGATTTCTCTAAAAATGGAGTTGGATTAGTTCCTTTTAGATCTCTACTTCCATGATTGCTAGTGTATAATTGAGGATTCATTGGCTATTTAGTTGCGCTGGCTTTAGAATGCTTTGAAATAATAGCTCTCAGGGTCTCCCCTGAGACCCACAGGGGAGAAAGGGTGGAGTAATGGGGGTGACCAGAAAATCTGGCCAAAGAGAACTCACTTGCTGTTTTCTATCAGCATCTGCGAGTTGGGTTGTGCATCTAATGGGCCAGTCTTAGGTTGAGAAGAACCCATATTTGCTCATGGGTCAGGACATAGGAAAGAAACAAATGCTTCACTATGGGACTCCGGGTTTACATCTCTGCATTGAAACCTGTCCTTTCTTTTCAGATTGCTGAATTCTAACTCATTTACCGTCATCCGCGATGATGCTTTTGCTGGACTCTTTCATCTCGAATACCTGTAAGTGCTGTGCTTTGTCTGCCTGCTGAGCATTTGGTCCATCAGTACAATTGCTGTATCGCTTTCCAAGCCGAACAGCATCTCTTACAGAACTTGGGGGTGGAGAAAACCCCACTCCCTTTCCAGCGCTGACCTTTTACAGTTCACTTGTGTATAAACGTGCCGGGACAGAAGGAGGCTGGGGGCAAAGAGGGGGAAAGGAAACAAAGAAGGAAAGATATCCATTCATTCTCTGCTGACATTTAATTTGCCATGTAGAAAGCACAATTGGAAATTGTGTTGGATATTTTTACCTCTCATAACGAGGCATGGATTTGCTGATCAGCCAGAAAGGATTCTGAGGGTTACTTAGTTTTAAATAAAGTCTCCCTGTATGGGAATACAATGTCATGTTTTTAATTCAGCTGGCCTATGTCCTGTTTGCAGTATCCCCTGGGAGCTGCTGACAAGGGTCTAATTTTCTTTTTTCTGCTTTCAAGAACGATTATTTTTCCCTTTTCAGAGGTGCAGTTCCCCGCCCCGCCCCCCCCCCCCCCCCAGGCAATGAGCTTTGCCCTCTCTCTGATTTCTGCCTTTCCCCCACTCTAATGTATTTTTTTCCACTTAAATTCTTTCATCCTTGTCTTGTGTAACTTTGTAATAACATTAATCCCGTTATCAGATGGGATTTCCTTACTTGGCATTCAGAGGGGTTTTTAAAGCCTTGTCTCTGCTTTCTTATCTGAGGTGAGCAGGTAGATGTTTGAATTCCGAACACATCCTAGGTCCAAGGAAGCTCTCTGCTGATGGTATGGCCTCAGGAAGGATGTTTCTGGAGTTGTTTCTCCAGATGCACATACTGTGTGTGTTCTCAGGGCATTGTGCTAGCATGCTTAACATGGAAAGACAGGTAGGACTGCAGCGCTGAGTCCAGCTGGGTTCTCTCAAAGCATGTGAGCAGGCCATGCAGGGAGTGAATGTGAAGCTACCAGTTTTCTCTTATGAGCAGTTCATCTTAGTGTCAAGGTGATTGAGGAGGAGGTCAGCTTAGTTTATACTGAAGTCTGTCATGGAATAGACCCCTGATCTTTAAAAAGCAGGCATGGGGAAGTAGTTCTCAGTGCAAGAACTATTTCATTAACTACTGGCATCGTGTGCAAAGCCTCTCCCTTGGGCCATCTCATCAAAGACCCTCTTCCATTTGATGAAATGTGATGCCTTAAACCAGGAGTGGGAAACCTTTTTTTTCTGCCAAGGGACATTTGGAACTTAATAACATTATTCAAGGTTCTCACAAAATTATCAACTTAGAAATTAGCCTGTTATATTTGGTCAAACATTGAATTAACTCATCCCTAATGCCTTGGCAGGACCAGACCACATAATTTCGAGGGCCTTATATGACGCTCCCCACCCCTGCTTTAAACTAAGCAGTAGGTCTCTATGGCCTGAGGGCATAGTTGTAGTGCATATATTTCTCACCAAGACTTTATAGCATGGCCAGAGTTATTATTAATGCAGGATTTTAGCTCAAGCCCTGGGACGTTTCAGCGCAGAGAAAGAAGTTTGGCCCACATTCAATGTCATTATACTTCCCATTTCCCTGTGCCTTCGAGATCTTGAGAGGACCCTGCCTCGTCACCAATTTGTTCTGAGATTAGACCGTGTAGGACACGATGAACTCAAGAGTTTGCCAGAAGCCAAGTTTAATGGAACTTTCCCTCAGCAAGAACTTTAATAAGGAGATGTGAAACATCGGGCTTCCCTCAAGGGACAAAGATGTTAACAAACGTATGAGTAGCCAGGCCGTGAAATGTAAGAAGGGTTGATGTCTGGGAACATTCCAGGCCTGCAGAGATTTGAACATTCTTGCCTTGGTCGAGTGCTTTCTTCTTTTTCCCCCAAACATGTTTCTATGCATGTTGCCAACTCTGAATTTGAAGACGTTCATGCTGCTCTGGAGAGCAAACACTTGTGTCCATGTTTTAGATTTTATTTCAAACGCATGCCAATATCATTTCCTAGAGCTGTTAAGCTGGGAAAGTTCCGTTTGCTTATACTGCTGTTCTTCTAGGTTCATCGAAGGGAACAAAATAGAAACGATTTCAAGAAATGCCTTCCGTGGCCTCCGTGACCTGACTCACCTGTAAGTCCTGTGAAAAGTGTCAATCTTTTAAGGTGCAAAGTAAGATTCACTTCCTGGTGCCTCTCTTTTTCTTGACTGTTTTGTCCATATTGTAACATCGTCTAAATGAAACTAATTTCCAGGTTGCCCTAGAGGTTTCTATATTATGGACCGATCATCAGCCCACGATAATAAAGACACACTTGTCTTGATTATCTTTTCCATCATTCTGGATTGTCATCATGGACCACATGACTGCATGTCAAATAGGGAGCACTCTGCTTCCAGGGGCTACGTATGTGAGTGACGGAGGAGATGGGGAGGAAACTGACGTGTATTGTGCACCTACTCTGTGCCACGCTCAGGGCTGTGTGCTTAGTGAGCCTTCTTCTCTTTATTTTTCAAGATAATCTGTGAGTCCCCATTTTATAGATTTAGGAACTGACACTTACAGACTCATAGAAGAAGGTTGAATGCAGGGTCAGAATTAGGACAAAGTGGAATAGAGACTTTTTTTGCGGTTCCTCAAATTTGAATGCAAATAGCTTTTTCTTTTATGTTGGATTAATCGGCAGCTTAAGCTAAGCTCTCTGGGATTTTTAATAGCTTTCTGGAGGAAGAAAATTAAACAAATTGATTTGAATTGACATATCAGAATGAAGCAAGTGCACACACTTAACAAATGTAGAAAAGTGGAAAAAATAGGGACTGCGTTTATGAACATGTAAAGATAGCCATTGTCTTGGTAGGAGCCATTTATGAGCCAGGAACCGGGCCCCGTTTGTGTGATGGATATTTTGTGTTTGGGTAAGATACCATGTCTTGTCCCCAAAGTCAGCTCATGTGTGGTACAGAGAGAAGTGAGAAAATGGGAGGCTTTGGCTGGGGTGTTGGGCAGGAGGGGTGGTATCCTCGGCGTGTATCACCCTGCCTGATACAGCATCTAAAGAGTTTACATCAAACCCCCATGTGGGCAAAAGTGTCTGTCCCCGGGCTCAGGGAGCACTTGGTTCTGGAATCCTACCAAGCAGAGGCTCTGCCTGAGTTCAAGCTCACGAAGTCAGGAGATGAGGGAGCAGAGTGGGAGGTCCAAACATCCGCATCAGCAGAGTCATCCTGCAGAGCGTCCGACTCCTGTTGGCATAATTGCTCCAGGTTTACTTTCCTTCCTGTGAACGTTTTGATTTCTTTCCCCAGCAAATTCAACCCACATGCCCAATCCCTGCATTCCTGTAGAGGCTAAGACAATGGGCTTAGAGTCACACAGACTTGGGTTCAACCTCAAGGCCATCATTTGTTATTGGTGTTTAGCCTTTTTGAGCCTGTTTCCTCATCCTTAATCTGGGGATGATGATACTGAGCCCAGAGGACTGTCGCACATGGTGGTTAATGCTTGCTTGCAAAGCATCAGCCAATCACCCAGGTAAATGCTCCAGGTATGATCAGCATTGATATCATCGTCATCATCATCATCATCATCATCATCATCATCATCACCATCACCAACAACCTCGTTCCCTTCCTCCAATCGTTAAGAAGTCTCAGTTTTCTCCCTGGAATGCTGAGCAGCCTTGGCAGTTTGGGTGGCCAGACAGAGTCTGCTAAGTAGACAGCTGTGGGCATCTGGAGAGGAACAGCTGTGGCCAGATAAGCCAGTTCCCAGAAGTCAGGAATGAGGGGCTTTGTTTTGAGCAAAGACTCTGGGCAGATTGTGAACCTAAAGCAAAGCCCATGAGACTGAGTTAGCCCCGATGTCAACTTTCATTTGACCTGTTGTCTATGGTTCTTGGTCTGGAAACAGGTGAGAACGTGCAGGTACTGTACATGTATATTTGCATAGCTTTTACACGTGTGCCCATGGGTGTATGGACTTCTCTAAATGTGTCTACATAACTGCGTTTGTGTGTGCATGCTTGTGCATCTGCACACACGACCATATGTGTATATCAGATGTACATATGTGTACGAGGCACCTCCTTCTCTGTGTGAAATGCAGAGAGAACAAAGGATTCCCTTGCTTGGGTCCAGAGTGCATCGGATGCACTAATACACCCATTCTGGCATGTATTGCCACCCGACAGTCAAGCCAACCAGGCACCCTCTATCCCCAGCTCTTCAACCTCATTTCCCTAAATGTCCTCAGAACACTGGGCTCTCAGGGGGGTCCCATGCATACCCAACTCATCCCATTCCTGGCTTTCCTTCACATCTTTTCTCTGGCCCTGGGTGCTCTTTCTTCTGCCCACGATCTCCTGGGATCTGCTTGTTCTTCAAAGTCTAGATTAAGTTCTATCTCCCACGTGGAGCCATGTGAGTCTCCCCTTCACTCCTCCTGTAGCCTCCCTATTGGCTCCACACACCCAGCACCTTACCGTAGACTCGGGCCACACTGGTCGGTGCAATTTCATGGTGTTAGTTTTATCTCCCCATCAGCAGTGAGAGCTCCCTGAGGGGAGGGCCCGTGAGGATCTTTCATTAGCTGTGTTCTTCGTCCAGCATCTAGCACAGGGCTAAGCCAGCAGGACATCCTTTCAGATTCACTGGTTGACCTGTGCGTTCCTTACTGACCTGGATTTTCCATGAGTACTCTACTCCTGGGCAAGTCAGGTGGACTCCTCTGGGCTGGAGATGCATGTAGTCATTAAAGCATTTAGTACAGTGATGATGAACCTATGACACACGTGTCAGAGGTGACACGCGAACTCATTTTTTTGGTTGATTTTTCTTTGTTAAATGGCATTTAAATATATAAAATAAATATCAAAAATATAAGTCTTTGTTTTACTATGGTTGCAAATATCAAAAAATTTCTATATGTGATACAGCAGAGTTAAGTTAGGGTTTTTCAAAATGCTGACACGCCGAGCTCAAAAGGTTCGCCATCACTGATTTAGTACATTGTTTAAGAATGAACTGGTCCTTCCATTTCTTTTTTTTTTTTTTTAAACTCTGAGCCAAGACCACATATCAGCTCTCTAAAGTTTACTCCCATGATGAAGGAAATTATTGCCTGGAATTTGCTTGTTTAAGTGTCTGATTTTTATCCTTTATGAACTTTTCCAACACCTGCAGGGTCACAATTTCATGTAAAGAAACACGGGTCAGGTTTCAGGGCCCTGACGGAGCAGTGCCAATCTGTAAGTAAAATCTAGGACAGTTGTTTCCAGCAGTCCGTAAAGCCCAAGGGACAGGTTGCTGTTAAGTAGTTTTAGAAATGAAGTAAGTGCCATGAATTTGTAGATAAAATGAAGTGGAAAGTGAGATGTTATGCACTGACTGTGAGTGGGGTGGATGGTCCATCTAAATAATTCAGCTTCTGAAATCCAAATTGAACGCTTGGAACGGTTGCTGAACAGTCTGCTTTTTTGGCCTCGAATATCCCATATATTCTTATCACTTTAATACGATACAGTTCAAGTAGCAAAAAAAGAAATTTAGCTGAAAAAATTCCCCTTTAATTATCTAAAAAAAGTTTTTACTTTACTTTTCAGGTAAAGGGACCATTAACCAGAAAAAAAAATCAAAATAAACATGTTCTTTTCTAATGTCAAAAAAGCTGTTCAGTCTGATTACATATTCAGTCTATTTTCCAATATCTTTAAAAATGTACAGATAAATCATTTAGAAAATAAAGGTTAAACAAATATAAGAAATAATATTTTAATTATTTGTGGTTACCTAGATGGAAAGAGGTCTCCCCATATTCTGTTAGTATCTTGAAGCTGGAATGGTTGGTTAAAAATGGGCTCAAAGGCCCTAGCCAGTTTGGCTCAGTGGATAGAGTGACAGCCTGCAGACTGAAGGGTCCTGGGTTCGATTCCAGTCAAGGGCATATTCCTGGGTTGCGGGCTCAATCCCCAGTGGGGGGCATGCAGGAGGCAGCCGATCAATGATTCTTTCTCATCATTGATGTTTCTATCTCTCCCTCTCCCTTCTGCTCTGAAATAAATAAAAATATATTTTTTAAAAAAGAAAAAGAAAATGTGGAACATTTTAAAAAATGGACTCAAAACTTTCAATTACGGTTGAGTCTAAGGAGGAGCACTCATTTTTTTAATTCCTTTTTCTGGGATGGGTCATTATGATGCTACAGAAGACTAATTTCATATATGTTTCATATACATATTTCATATATAAACATATACACATATATATTTGGTGATGAATTGCCTACATGTTTCTCATTTATAGTTTTGCTTTTTGTACTCATGTAAAGAAAAAAAATGTAGCCATCAGTTTCTTGGCTGAGTCATATTAGAACACAATGCCTGAGGGAAATCACAGACTTGATGTACATCGTTTCAACACCTAGCATCTTTCAACGTCAACAGCCCAGCCCCATGACATCCATCTTTAGCAGGATGGTGACAGGGCACTGCAGAATCCTGAATCATCCGAGAAAGAGTTGATGGTGCTCATTCAGAATCTTTTTTTGGAAGAGGGGAGGGGGGCGCTAAGATGTTTTAGAAAGTTCTTAAAAACTAACAGCAAAAATGCAGAATGGCTTCTGGTCAACCTTTGTTAATGAGAAAACAAAATCGATCACCATCATTCATTCCCTAAATGGGGTTCGTTGAGATTAATATTATTGTCAGGGTTAGAGCTGAGGGTCTTTAAGTAAAAGCATATTTACTGAGTCCTTTCTTAGAGTGACAAGTGATAGAATTCACTTAAATGGACCCTAGGGAATTTCTTGGTACATGAATGTACATCCTTTTTTTAAAAAAAAAATCATTGTCATTTTAATGCATAATTCATTCAACAAAGTTTTACTGGTACCTACTATATGCCAGGAAATGTTCTATGAGCTGAGGATACAGATGTGGACAAACAAATTTTTCCTCATGTTGCTTACGTCTAGGATGAATACACGGTCAATAAACAAGTAGATAAATAAAATGTATAGTATGTCAAGTAACAGTAGTGCAATGAGGAACATAGCAGGGGAGGGAGATGTGTAGAGGTCAGGGAAGGTGGTGATAGCTGCGGACAGATGTAAGAAGGTGATGGAGTGAGCTGTGGGGTATCTGGGGAAAGAGCATTCTAGGCAGATGGACAGCAAGTTCAGGCCTTGAGCTGGGGCTGTGTTTCTCCTGTTTGAGAAATAACAAAGAGCCCAGTGCAGCTGGATCTTGGTGGTTAAGATGTCCCATCAGTAGGTGGGAATGGAGGTAAACTAGACAATGGAGGGTCTTGCATGACATCAAAGGGACTGTGGCTTTTATTCTGAAAGCATGAGTGCTACCTGAGGTCTAACCAATGTATATCAAGAGCTTAATAAATGCTGGTTTTAAAAACAAAAGACTTATGTTGTACCCCACCATTTACATTATTTTTGTGTAACTAAACTCAGTTCTTTATCTCAGTATTGATGACCAAAGCCAAAAATTGGAACCATGTTGTGCTGAAGAGGATTAGAGCTCTGTTTGAAATCATGACTTTATTTGAGGAACTTCAGAGTAACAGGGCATGAAGATAATAACCGCATTAAAATGTTACTTTCTGGTTCTAGCTCTTTGGCCAATAACCACATAAAAGCACTCCCAAGAGATGTCTTCAGTGATTTAGACTCTCTGATTGAACTGTAAGTAATGAAAATCAAGTTTGTGTCCACTTGTGCTTGTGCCCCAGTAAATCATGCCATTTAGTTCTCTCACCCCTTTGCTGCATTTCTCTTACGTTGTAGCTCAAAAACCTATGACAGCCGTGCCCACTGGGAAACAGCGTGGAGTCTGTGTGGGGTTGGATTGTGCCATTTTAGAATATCCTTAGTAGCATTAGGCTCCTTCCCTGAGATAGCGTATCCATCCGATTTACCTTCTAGTGTTTGTCACTTTTCACTGGACATAGTTTAACAAGATCTTAGTGTTTCAATTGTGTTTGTGAAAACTGGTTTCCTGGAATGTCCTGTTTGTGTTGGTGTGAACCTGTGTCATCGCTCCCGTGTCCAGCATGGCATGGCGACAGTTTCAAGAGAGTTTGGAGAAACGGTGGTATGTTAGCTCTGAAAGTTCGCTGTAGGCCAACCAGTTAAAACCGTAGGCACTGAAGACTATTAAATAAAGTCAGTGATGAGAACAAGAAATAGGATGCATTAAATATAAGAAAAATTTTAAATTGCAATTTTGGGGTATTAAATATATCAAGATATTAATAATTCTGGAGTCTCATATCAGTGCCCAAACACTTGAGGCATGTCTGTTTCTCTGTGCCTGTGCTTTGTTTTACTTTTTAGAGATTTAAGGGGCAATAAATTTGAATGCGACTGCAAAGCCAAGTGGCTGTATCTGTGGTTGAAGATGACAAACTCCACCGTTTCGGACGTGCTGTGTATCGGTCCCCCGGAATATCAGGAGAAGAAGCTAAATGATGTGACCAGCTTTGACTACGAATGCACAACTACAGGTATGCAGAACCCCTGTCACCAAGGCGGTTAATTAGAACAATCCCTGTGTTTTCCCTTTAACTTGTCAACAGGGACTGGAGAAAAGTGGTTGCAAAAACTTTTTAAGTTATTTTAGGCGAAATTTAAGGTCCAAAAGGTATGCATTGATGTGGTAAGGAAAATATCTCAACAGTTTAGATTTTTGTTAACTGCACTGGCTTTAATTTTGATTCTTTACAAAATTTAAATTTCTCTAAAGATTTTTCTTTTTAAAGTCAAATATAAACTGGTGAGTTTGGCATAAAAACATTTTCAGGTCAGTTTGGGTTTCCTTAGAGAGCCAGTGCAGAGAGGCCTAAACGTCTGTTCTCTTGATTGAATTACATGAATTTTATTGAAAATTTAAGTAGCAAATGTGAGACTTTAAAATCTATAAATTGCATTCGTAGTCCCATCTAAAAAGAGATAACTAGGTAAATTATAACCAATGGCAAAGTAGAAATATAAGTTAAGAGTTAATTGTCAAAAGGAGAAACTCACATTGAGGGGAAAATGTAAAGTTTGATTTTGTTTTCCAGGACACCCCTCAGGTTCCAGTTGATACATTTTTAGGCTATGAAGATAAAATTAAAATACTAACTGCCTCAACTCTGCACATCTTGTAGAGAGCCGGCGAGTGTCTCCATGTGAAAGGCTTAGATGGAGTTGCCACAGCTTCTGGCACCAGATTTTGTTTTTAATCCTCACCAGGGGATACTTTTCCCATAGTTTTTCAGAGAGAGTGGATGAAGGCAGTGGGAGGGGGAGAGAGAAAGAGAGAGAGAGAGAGGTGACAGAGACACATCAACTGGTTGCCTCCCACATGCACACCAACCAGGGTGCAGGGAGCTAACCCACAACCCAGGTACATATCCTTGATTGGAAATTGAACCCTGAACCCCTAGGTGCGTGGGCTGATGCTCTAACCACTTAGCGGCACCAGCCAGGGCTAATACCAGATTTTAAAGGAGAGAAGATCAATCCACAGTATGAAACCTGCTTTATCAGACTTAGAAATGTAAACAGGCTGAGATTTGGTATCTACAGGGCTTCAGGGCATGTCAGTAGGAGCAGCAGGAATGAGAACTCAGACCATAGTTACAGAAACTCATAAGACAAAAGAACTTGCAGGACAAAATATTCCATGTAGGCCAGTCCTCCAAATAAACAAACACTCGCAAAGTAAAAATTATTTCCAGATGTCTTTGTACATAAGGGCCCTTACGAGTCCTGTTCTTTTCTGAGAGGAAACCTGACTCTTATGGAAATGACCTTGTCTTTCATCACAGAACAGGGCTTATTCAGCTGTGTAATTGGCAGGTGCCCTTTAGCCAGCGAGGCTGCACGCAGGTTATTCGCTGTATTGTGGAGCAGTGCAAAAAATCAGAGGTCGAGTCAATGACATTTGCACCGAAAGGTGGCATTCAAGGCCATTGGGTATGAAATGCTAAACCAAAGCTCGTTGGGGCTGTTTCTACCTCTTCCCCAGCTTTTCTGGAGAGTTCTCTAACCCCCAGGTGAAGTTAGCAGCTTTTCCATTGTTCTAGTCACGCCTGGCCATAGTGTAAGAAAAGTTTGCCAAGCTCTGAGAGAAATGACACGGGCCATAGAGGGACCGGGAGACTTGGGAATAATTTACACGAGACAACCTTACTTCTGAGCTTAGAGTCCCGTGGATGGTTATGAAAACCACCCAAGCTCTGAGAATTGTCATGGGAATGGAGGAGACTTGGAACCAAGGTGGCCAGGTCTTGAAATCTGTCATAAACCCAGAATCAGTGTGAGTCCCTAACACATTTTAGGGCATTCTCTCTCTTATATAGATCTTCGCTAAACAGCTTCCTATTAAAATCAAGGAAGTCATCCCACCTCCCTGGTAACAGGAAGATGAGGATTCTATCTTTGCTATTGTTTTATCCCTTTAAGAATCGTGGACAAATGGCCCTGGCTGGTGCTTCTCAGTGGTTAGAGCATCGGCTCCATGCACCAAAGAGTCACGGGTTTGATTCCTGGTCAAGGGCATGTACCTGGGTTGCAGGTTCAATGCCTGGCAGGGTTTGGGAGGTTGTGGGAGGCAACCAATCAATGTTTCTCTCTCCCCCCCCCCACTTCCCTTCCTCCTTCCACGCTCTAAAAAATCAATGGAAAGAATATCTCTGGGTGAGGATTAACAAAAACACCAGAAAAGAATCATGGACAAATGGGCTCTTGCTCCCAGGGTCTTCCATCATGAAAAAAGGCACAGCCGGGTTATAACCTGTCCCCAAGTAGAGTCCCTGCCTGGTAAGAACATAGGTCAACAGATTGTGAGTTTTGGGCTCCTATCTCCTGCTCAGATAAAGCCTCATCGTCTGGGGCTTTATTAGAGGCTGAGAGGAAATGTGCGAGGAGGAGGAAAAGCCCATTCCTAGGTCATGGGAATGACCGCACCCTCAGCAAGGAGCACATCTTCTTAGTGTATTATTTCCTTCGTGGCCCAGATTTTCAGGAAAAGAGTAAGTTCTTGAGGTGGAGGAGGGGAGGCAGACACTGTTCTTCCCAGGGAGAGGAGGGTACTGTTATTACCCTGTTCCCAGCACAGGGGTGTAGTTAGCACCTCGAAGCACCCTGGACTGTGTTCAGCTCTCTAGGTTAATCACAGTCCTTCCCGAACCCTCCGCCTCAAGTCTATTTTTATCCACCTCAGAAATCCCTGTTACCTGCTCATGATTCCCCGTGTGAGGTGGATAATTCACTAAATTCCTTAGAGGGAGGGAATTTTGCATCCTAATGGTCCTGTTAGCTGCCCTGTTTCAGGGCTGATGAAAATGCAAAGAGAAATAATGCATTAATGTGCAGTTTCTCTCCCAGTAGGATAGGCATCATGTATAATTTATTTTCTTCAAGTGCTATAAATAGCGAGGTAAAAATCTGTTGATTCCAGGGGGAGCCGTGCCCGAATTGGAAGAGTCCCACTGACATCATGAACTTAATCCAGTGTGAATGGAAGTGGCAGGCTTTCGCAGAGATCCCACTAATACTTAAACGCTAGTAAATTGGTGTCACATCCATGTGCGCATTCTCCCAGAGCTTTCCACGTGGCTGTGCGCTTGCTGCTTGTGAAAGATAAATTAAGACGAGGATGGATGAATATTTAAATTTGAGTCCCTTCCCCCCCATGCACACAAGCTCACATGTATTGATCATTCTATTCCACCTGTTTCTTTCTCTTTTCCTTCTCTCCCTCCTGCTTTTTTATTTATTATTTTTTTGTTATTGATTTCAGAAAGGAAGGGAGAGGGATAGAGACAGAAACATCAATGATGAGAGGGAATCATTGATCGGCTGCCTCCTGCACACCTCACACTGGGGATCGAGCCCACAACCCGGGCATGTGCCCTGACTGGGAATGGAACCGTGACCTCCTGGTTCATAGGTCGATGCTCAACCACTGAGCCACGCCGGCCAGGCTCTCTCCTCCTTTCTTATGAGGAGGGGTTGTGGAGGGAGAAAGGGGTCTCCTATTAGCAATTCGATTTCTAATTCAAATGAGTTAACAGTCTGTGTTGTGCAAGATACTCAGTTTTTACAAAATATGATGAAACCGATGCTTGGGAAAATAAATGACAATCAGACCATTGAAGGCCAGATTTGTAAAATGCTCTCCAGTCTGGCAGCTCTGTTCTCATTCTGGGAATCGTTAATAAAAAGCTGACTTTGGGGCCTGCACTTTCAGTGACCTGCGTTTTTAAGCAGACGCTCATGTTTCTGGGAAGCCAGCGTGCGGTCGGGAGCCTGACTAGAACAAGCCGCTACAGGCACCGCACGCGTGTTCAGAAGCTTCTGCAGACCTGGGTTAGACGAATGCCCCCGGGTAGAGGAGTGGTTTACAGGCCTCCGGGTTGTAATGAAGAGAGGGAGAGGGCACCTGTGTCCCCAGAGTCCTTTGCTAACTCCGGGAAAGGAAGCGGACAAGGCCGGCTACCATTTCGCGACCTGTGAGCACAGAGCCCCGGAGCCTGTGGCCTCGGCCAGCGCTTTCTGGCTTCTACGCGGGTCCTGCGCGTGCCAACAGGAAAGAACTGAGGCTGATGCTTTCTCTTCCTCTTTGGCTGATCAGCGCTGGTATTTGGGGTTTTGGTGGAGGGTGGGGGCTCTTCCCTATCTTCATGCAGGCAGCATAACGTTATCATTGGAACTACGACTGTCCAGCTACATGGAACTGTATCGTTACATATCCGACACCGCTGAGGCATGTCCACAGACGGCTCTGTGCTGTCACTACGTGCACACTCTTATTTAGTCTCTACGACCACCTACGAAATAAACATCCCCCTCATTTTACTCATCCTCATTATTTTCTTGCCCAAGGTCGCAGACTACAGTGTAGAGGGGAGCCTGAGCCCCAGCACTTCTGGATAGTCCACTCCCTGGGGTGGGGGGAGGGTACCTCATCCATGATTGCCACCTGTCCCCACCCCGTTGGCCACTTCTTGCTGTTGGGGTACAGAGGCAGCCTCCTCTTTGCTTCTCCCTCTTCTCCCCACACCTGCAAGCATCACTCGTTCAGTCCCATCCTCTCCCCACCCCAGTCCTCAGAATGAGCCAGCGCTCCTACACTTATTAAGCCAGCAGCCTTTATTAAGCGCCTGCTGTACACAGGGAGGGCCACCTCTGAGAGGTAACGTGCCTTGAGCACTAACTGTGTGCTACGTACAGTTCTAATTGAGTACGAATCGTAACATACAGTGAGGAAACCGGGGCAGAGAGAGGGTAAGGAACTTCCCCAAGGTCACTCAGTGGGAAGGTGGAGTCACAGCTCTGGCGTCTTATCTCAGATGTCATTAAAATGGACACTCCCCCAAGGGACAGGCCAGGGGTGGTGGCGAGGACAGAGGAGGTGGACTGTCCTTTCTTGGACCTTAGTTCCATGTTTATTAAGCAGCTGCTATATGCTAGCCCTGAGGCAGGCATTTCTGGCAACGTTACCCAATGTGTCCCTCTGCCATTAAGCTTGGGAGGTAAGTATCATTGTGGATAGGTAAACTGAGGCCTTGTAAGGGGAAGTGTGCACCCAGGGTCTCCAGTGCAGGCAGTGGTTTTAGGTGGTCTGACCCCAGGCACAGTGCTCTTCCTGGTGCCTCTCATTGCCCTCACTCCCTCAGCCCTGCCCCTCTTCCCTGTCCCTGCCTGTTGCCTGCTCTTCCTGTCACCATGCTTCCTACTCCAACACTTGCTCAGCTGCTCTGCATCCTTTCCTGCCCTGTTCCCTCAGCACTGTCCCTCTTGACTCACTATGGAGTGGCTGGTCCCCTTATTGCCTTTCTGGTGTAACAGCTGTATGAGGCTCCCCAGTCAGAGGTATTTCTCGAGTGGCTGCTGTGGGCTCATGCCACGGGGCTGTGAGAAGTGTAAGACCCACATCTGACCTTAGGGAGCACTGTGTTCAGGAGACACCCCGTGCTGTGTGCCCATGTCCAGACGTGCACACCCTCTGGGCTTCTGGCTCTGTACAATGACTCAAGGTCTAAGATCGCTCCCATGTCCCCAAATCTGACTCTGCTGATGCTGTGTTGAAGAGTCAGTCAGTGTGGGTAACAAGATGTAAACAGCAGTGCCTGATTATGTGTCCAATGAATTAGGAAGAGTCCCAGGGGTTGGAGCGGTCAGGGAAGGCTTTGCAGAGGAGGTGGGACTTGAGGGGCCCCAATAAGGACAGTGTGGGGAGTTGAGGGGCAAGGATTTTCTCATAGAGTGACTCTCCTCAGCCAGACGTGCACCGTCATTTTACCCCGGGGCACACTCAACCTGCCAGGAAGCAGTGCACGTGGAAGGCTCTCTGGCTAAAGAAAGAACTTAAACTTTATTAGTGTCCTTTCCCCCCCGCCCCCCTTCATCAGTTCTCCAGCTACCCCACACACTAAGTGTCCTGGCATCCGAGGGCATCCTCACGCTGTTCCTTGGTAAAACTGTACATTTCCTACCGAGATTTATAGTACAGTGAGTCTGTCGTAGCTCAGGGCAGTCATGTGGACGAGAAGTTTAAATTTACCACTAAATGTAAGAGTTAAGCACTTGCTCAGATTGGGCGGGTTCTCTGTTGCTTGAAAATGCAACAGACCTCCTGTGAGTGCTTGCTGAGCTGTCCAGACCCCAGGCAGAGCTGTCACTCATTGCACTGGGCCCAGGAGTCAGTAACTGTCTTTCCTTCCCGGGGCGGGGGGGCTGCGGGGTCTTTATAAACCTCTGAGACCGCATGGGAGGGCTTGGCTCGGTTTCCAAGCATGCAAGGAGCCATTGGGGGCTGACTTCTCATTGTGAACCTGCCGGGGCAGCCTCCCCACCAGGGTGATGCAGAGCTGGGAGTGTGTTAACAGGTGATAACAGGGTCCCGTTGCCAGGTCAGCTTGAGAACCACCCCAGCAACAGGTTTCTTTACTACCCGGCTCTTCTGAGAGCGTTAGACACAGCTTTCCCCAAATGAGTCTGCCCATTGCTGCCCTGGTTCACGGAGGAATTTTCAGGGTAGTGTCAGGAGTGTGGTTCTGTGGCTTCCCTTCTGTCTGGCCTTTTTGAAATCCAGGTCTCACCAAATGTGTTTAAAACATTGAGATCCTTCAGCCAAACCTGCGAGCTGTTTATCTCAAAGAAGCTGTATCAGAAGCTGTGCATTCAGTTGGAGATTCCCATGCATGCCAGAACCTTCTGGAATCTCCCAGAGTCAAGCACACTGGGATGTTAGCGTTGCTTCTTTCCTGTCCCCCCTCCCCTTTTTGGAACCAATGAAAGGAAAGAAGAGGTGGTTGATGACTCCCCCAGGACATCTCATGGAGCCTTTCTCTTTAAACACCTATTCCCAGATTTTGTTGTTCATCAGACATTGCCCTACCAGTCAGTTTCGGTGGATACGTTCAACTCCAAGAACGACGTGTACGTGGCCATCGCCCAGCCCAGCATGGAGAACTGTATGGTGCTGGAGTGGGACCACATCGAAATGAATTTCCGGAGCTATGACAATATCACAGGTGCGTGTGGCTTTGATGTATTGGCCTAATTTCAGCGAGAGAAGAAACGTTCTCTGCTGTACCGCGGGACCGCTTGGCTCTCTCACCCGGTTAGATTTTAGGGACACATCCCAGCCCACCCTCATCTCTGATTTTTCACGATATGGTCCATTATTGGTGAGAACAGAAGCCTTAGGTGGTGATCCTGTTTGTTGTCAGGGATCCTTTTGAAAAGGGAGAGAGTGATGGGTTACACATGGCGGGAGGCATTTTCCTGGAGAGGTGAGAGGTCACTCCGAGAACCCCTTGATCTTTAGCAGTTATGGCACCTTGGATTGCACCAATTTTGTAGCAGCTAAAAAGCCCTTGCTTTTTGTTAAGCTGATTATTAATGAATATGGTAATGAACACATGCACACAAGTATGTGTGCTCATGCACACACATGTACATGTGCATATATGCATGCTCACACACGTGGACATGTGCACACATACATGCCGGCATATATACACACGTGTGTGTGATCATGCACATAAACACACCTCCACTGTCTAGCTGTTCTTCCTGCCCCCTTGCCAGGTCCCGATGATCACTGCTTCCTCGTAATAAATGCAAACAAAATAAGAATACATGGCTCTCTAAACCCAGGCCTTTGGGGCAAGACTTAGTTAATGATTCTTTCAGTGCTGGCGGTGGCTCCCAGTGTTTTACTGCTACTAAAAATGGAGGGTCTGCTTGCTTTTTAAATAAGTGGGTAAAGTTAAAATAATCTTGCAAAGACTTCTCGTGTATCAAGTGCAACCTGATAATATACTAACTTTATAAGCAGCATCACAATGGCCCAATAGTTACCCCTCGAGAGCATTTCCTTTAGGGTCCTGATTTGGAGATGGAGCAGCGTTTTGCTGTTCCAGCGAGAAGCGGATGGAGGTGGAATTTCTGGAGGGGAGGCTCCTCGGAATCTCTCCGGCACCGGCACTGAGTGGCTTCGCCGCAGGTGCGGGGATGTGGGAGGCAGGGAGTGTCGTGATGAGCCTCATCTCGCAGCCCTGAAGGTCTGTGAGACGCACATGCAGATGCCATTGAGAGGCCATTCAGATGAGCCACGTTGCTGTCGGCCATCTGGCCGCCTGGTGCTGAGCTCACATTCCTGAGAGCAGCCCTGCTCGCTCGTCCACGTGCAGAGTCAGCACCGAGCCGCACAGGTGAACCTGCCGAGGGAAGCCGAGGCTTCGGACCCTAACCCAGCCCACATGAAAGGAAAAAGGGGGGCGAGAGAGGGACTCTCGGCCCACGTGTTTCTGCCTCTCTCTTTTTCCTGACTTGGAAGGTGGCGAGGGGTGAATGAGCTGGCCCCTCTGCCTTCTCCCCATGATGGGAGGTGGGAGCAGAGTGATACTTCGCTCTTGTGCAGGACGAGCCAATGTCAGTGCTTGTGGCTAATGCTGGTTGTGGGCCTGTGAGGTGCCAGACGCTGGCTTGTGTCATTGGAAACACACACACACACACACACACACACACACACACACACACACACACGATGAGCTCTGCTGCTACTGACAGCTCCATGGGCTAGAAGTGTTCACCAGGCAGAGGCATTAGGGGGCATTTCTGAAGTCAGTTCTTTCTGTCTCTCATGCCCCTTGGCTGAGACTGGCAGGCCTCTGGGTGCCTCTGAGCAGCAGGCACCTCCGGGGCCAGGTGGTGCAGGAGGGAGACCAGGAGCGTGCACTCTCAGTTAGTGTTGGCAGGCGGGAGCCCGGGCAGCTTTCGAAGAGCAGTGTGGTAGTTTAAACCCAGAAGCCTTAAAAAATGTGCACAATGTTTGACTCAGCAAACACATAAGAACACTGCCAGATGGTTTTCCAAAAACAATTTCTCTACGAGGAAGCATGTTACTTACAATCATGAAAAGCTAGAAATAACTGCAGTGTCCAATAGTAGAAGATTAGTTAAACAAACTATGGGGCACTCATGCAGTGGAATGCGGTGTAGTGTTTAAAAGTCTAGTTATAGAAGAGGAAATAACATGGGAAACTATTCACAAGTGAACATGGTCAAGTGAGAAAACAGGTTAATAAGAAGCCTATGTATTTGTACTATAAACTCAAATTTATTTTTAAAAAGTGCATTTGAGCCGAAACCGGTTTGGCTCAGTGGATAGAGCGTCGGCCTACGGACTGAAGGGTCCTGGGTTCGATTCCGGTCAAGGGCATGTACCTGGGTTGCAGGCACATCCCCAGTAGGAGATGTGCAGGAGGCGGCTGATCGATGTTTCTGACTCTCTATCTTTCTCCCTTCCTCTTGTAAAAAATCAATAAAATATATTTTTTAAAAAAGTGCAAATGAATATGAGCATAGATTGATGATTAAGAAATATATCAAGATATTAAGGATCATTTCAGCATTTGCAGGACCAATGACTTTGGTTTTCTTCTTTGTGCTTTTTGGTATCTTGTTGGTGGAGTGTAGGCAGGAGCCAGACTATCTAGGTTTCCTTTGGCTCCGGCCATCAGAAGAGGCCAAATGTCTTCAAGCACCCTTATTAAAATTGTTTCCTCCTGCCCATGAGCCCTCACTCCTACCATGTGACTGCCTCCCACCCCCAAGGAAGGAAGGCCATTTAATGGCCAGTTCTGCCCTATGGAGTTGGGAAGTGCTTTTTGAACATCATGAGGACAATGCGTTTGGTGTGTCAGTGAATTTCCTGACTTGTACACCTGCCTCTAAAGACACAGAGACCCAGGTGACCAGCATTTACATGTTTCTATGGAGCCACCATTTATAAAAGGGGTTTGATTTTTTTTTTAATTATGGGAAACTAGACATAGCATAAAATGTACCATCTTAACCACGTTAAGTGTACTGTTCAATTGTGTTAAGTACATTCACACTATTGTGCAACCAAAAGAACCCTTTTTGCCTTGGAAAACTGAAAATCTCCACCCATGAAATAACTCCCCACTTTTCCCTCCTCCCAGACCAGGCAGCCACCCTCTCCTTCCTGTTTCTATGAATATGACTACTCTACGTACCTCATAAAAGTGGAATCATACACTATCTGTTTACTTGTGAGCTGGCTTATTTCACTTGGCTAATGTCCTCAACATTTATCCATTTGTATCATGCATCAGAATTTCCTTCCTTTAAAAAAATATGTTTTTTATTGATTTCTCAGAGGAAGAGAGAGAGAGAGAAACATCAACGATGAGAGAGAATCATTGATTGGCTGCTTCCTGCACACCCCACACTGGGGATTAAGCCCGCAACCTGGGCATGTGCCCTGATCGAGAATTGAACCATGACATCCTTGTTCATAGTTCAATGCTCAACCACTGAGCCATGCTGGCTGGGTAGAATGTCCTTCCTTTTTAAGGCTGAATAAAAGCCCATTGGATGGGTAGACCACATGTGTTTATTTATTCACCCATCAGTGGACACTTGAGTTGTGTCCACCTCTTAGCTATTGTGAATAATGCTGCTATGGACATGGCTGGACATGTATCTCTTTAAGACCCTGTTTTGAATTCTTCTGGCTAAGGGTCCAGAGGTGGCATTCTGTACTATATGGTAATTCTATATTTAATTTTTCAATGGTTTAATTTTTCAATGATTTCCAGAGGGGCTGGCCCATTATAAAGTTCCCACCGGCAGTTCCCTAGGGTCTCTGTGTCACTGTGGAGGAGCATCTTAACCACGGCTGCCCTAATCCCCTCTTCTCTCTTTTGGGGCACAGGTCAGTCCATTGTGGGCTGTAAGGCCATCCTCATTGACGACCAGGTCTTTGTGGTGGTGGCCCAGCTCTTCGGCGGCTCTCACATCTACAAATACGATGAGAGCTGGACCAAGTTTGTCAAATTCCAAGACATCGAAGTCTCTCGCATTTCCAAGCCCAACGACATTGAGCTGTTTCAGATCGAGGACGAGACGTTCTTCGTCATCGCCGACAGCTCGAAAGCCGGCCTGTCAACGGTTTATAAATGGAACAGCAAAGGATTCTACTCCTACCAGTCCCTGCACGAGTGGTTCAGGGACACGGACGCCGAGTTCGTCGACATAGACGGGAAATCGCACCTGATCCTGTCCAGCCGCTCCCAGGTCCCCATCATCCTGCAGTGGAATAAGAGCTCCAAGAAGTTCGTCCCCCACAGCGACATCCCCAACATGGAGGATGTGCTGGCCGTGAAGAGCTTCCGAATGCAGAACTCCCTCTACCTGTCCCTCACCCGCTTCATCGGGGACTCCAGGGTCATGAGGTGGAACAATAAGCAGTTTGTGGAGATCCAGGCTCTCCCATCCCGGGGGGCCATGACCCTGCAGCCCTTCTCTTTTAAAGAGAATCACTACCTGGCCCTGGGGAGTGACTACACGTTCTCCCAGATATACCAGTGGGACAAGGAGAAGCAGCTGTTCAAGAAGTTCAAGGAGATCTACGTGCAGGCGCCTCGTTCCTTCACTGCCGTCTCCACTGACAGGAGGGATTTCTTTTTTGCGTCCAGTTTCAAAGGGAAAACAAAGATTTTCGAACACATAGTTGTTGACTTAAGTTTGTGATCGGTGAATTTAAAGGACACAGCGCGAGCTCTCGGGAGAGAACTGAGAAAACATATTTAAAAGGGAGCCAGGTTCAGAGGTCTGACGTTAACACTGCACTGGGGAAATAGTTAGGCGTGTTCAAGCTTTTAGAACTCACATTGTAATCAGGGATTGCATTTACTGGCTAACTGCATGCCATGTTCATCCTCCCACTTAAAAAGACATAGGGAAGCCTGTAATTCCTGAGAAAAGAGTACAGCAGTAATTCTTACCATCTAGGAAAGTAATGTGAGATTTTTTTTTTTTTAATGAGGAAGGAGAAAATCAGATAAGATAGGACAGCTCTTATAATGAAATTTTTAAAAAGACCAAACAAACTATGGGCCCTTCTCACCCCACTTTAGCTATCTTTCTGGTAAGGACTCTTAAAGCCAAAGTCAGCTGAAAAGATGTGCTGATGGTAAGTTTAAAAATCGGGTAACACTCAGCATTGCTATTTTGGGCCACCCTAATTTCCCGACCGACCCTCCCCTCCTCCCCACCCCCCTTCCTAGCAGAACCTTGGCTTTTGCATTGGCTCATATGAATGCTTGTCATGGGCGTGTCAACAAAATAATGTTTGATGAATTGCTTCCTCTGCTACAAAGAAAATCTTCCGCTGACACCTGTCTAGGCCCAGCATGGGCTGTGGGCCCAGGAGGGAGACAAAGGAGGTCTCCTCTTCTTATGGCTCAGCGCTGACCCTCGTGGTGGCCTGAGCAACAATGCCTGTTTGATGCTCTCCATGATGTGTCGCTTCTCAGAGCCCACTCTGAGTGTGTGGGTCGCCAGCCGACGGGCCAAAGACCGAATGGTGCTTTCTATTCTGTCCTTTAGAGCAATAGAACAGGTATTGCCATCTGATGAGAATTTCCGAACTAAGATTTTGTAGAGTCAAGGAGGACTTCACACACGTCTCCATGTACTTTGAAACCTAGAGATGGCCCTTGGAATGATGCATGCCTTTGCCTCCTGGGCAACTTAATATTTCAAGTAATTGAATAGCAACCTACCTACCTGCCCACCTGCCTACCTCCCTGCTCATGTAACCGTCTGCTTTGTTGATTTGCTGATATTGCTGCTGCCAGCACAGCCCTTCCAAAGGTGCTGTAGCAGCAAATTGTAGAAGCTGGGGTACTCAGGACAACACACTCCTCCCTCTCTCTGTCCTTTGCTCCCTTGGGGACATGTGCTGACAGGGGGCTCATCCTCTACACAGAAATGGGGGAGGGGGCGGGCGGGGAGGACCCACTGAACAATAGGGACCAGCTTAGGAGCCAGACATGTAGAATCCCATAGACCGGGTCTGCGCTCAGGGGCCCAGGTGGCTGGTTTCAAAATGGGTCTCTCTGGTGTGGACCATCGGGAAGCTCATGGGGACAGGGATCTGGTTTTGTGGAGGGTCCAGGGGATGTTCTGCCTGGTTAGCTGGTTCTCTTCAGAGAATAGGAAGTGAATGGTTTCAGGAGTGGCTCTCAAAGAGTAACCCCACAACTTGTAGCCATGAACGTAGCATCATCGTTGTACTGTATTACTTTTTTAATGATTTGTGTTTGCCAAGTCATGAGTAGGTGGGTGTTTTGCCACAAATATGAATGTATGTGTTGTTTCCAGACTGTAAGCAATGCGGATCGAGGCAATAAATAGCACTTAGAGAACAATGCGCTGGTGTCACAGCAGCTCCTTGGGCACATTCTGGGACTCAGGGCTGAGGGCTCCCAGCCTCGGACACCAGGGACTGCCGTGAACTAGCTCATCCACACATGGTGGCGGTGGGACGTTCCTACGAAGCCCCGAGGGAACCGGAGAAGAGTGGCGTGTTTTCATTTTTTTAAGCACCAATGACTCTTGCTCCCGTGCTCTTCCCCCTTCCTGGTTGTTTGCATTGACTGCAAATGCCCAGATCCCTGCATCAGAGGCTGGACGTGGGGAGCTCAGCTATTCCTCGGGCTGTCACGATGGTCAGACTATTCTTCTGGCACATGGAACCCTTCCGACAAGGCGGGGTGGGAAAACGGGCCCTTGGCAAGTAGTCAAGTAGGAGACGTTTACACAGCCCAGCGCTGTGCCAGATCGAAATGATGTTCCTGATTCAGACGTTTGTAGAGAAGGCAACTGCGCCAACATCATGGCGTTGTCTCTACGGAGCGGTGTACCAGTTTCCCAGCTGCAGCGCTGAGGATGAAGCTAGGGGCTAACCACGTGCAGTCACCACCCTGGTAACTGTTGCCCAGAATCTGGAAAACCAGGGAGCACAGGGTGCCGGGCTGGGTGTCGGGGGACTTGCTGAGTCCGGGTGAGACAGGATGAAAGAAAAATTTAAAGCTTATGATGGAGGCGGGGGTCGGAGGGAGAGAGGGTGGGGAAGCCACTCAGTTGCAATCAGGATTTCTTTTCTTTTTCTTTAAAAAACTTTAAGACAAGATCCGCATCTGCCGTCCCTAGAGTCCCTGCCCTGAGGGAGGAGATATTTGTTCTGGCCGACTTAGGAGTGGAGATGTTCTTGGCGCCAGGCGATGGAAGCTTTGCTTCATTAATCTTACTGCTCCTTCCCAAGAGTCCCTCGAGTTTTAAACAATTTCTGCAAGAAGATTTCTCCCCGTAATAATGTAAGAGGAAAAACACCAAGCAACAACAAGAATTCGAAGCAGAGAGTCTTGGGGGACCATCCCTGTGGAGATAGCGTTAGGGGGGGCTGTGCTTTTTGCTCCGTTCCTTCCCATCACCCACTGCTTGATCGTCTCCGCTGGTTTTGTCTTTACAATCTTGGTGGCGCAGCTCCCAGACTGAGTCCCTCCACATAGACATGCGGCCAAGACACACAGCCTTAAAGCGAGGACTTGTCCCCAAACTCCACGGAGTCAGGAATAGATCCTTTATGAAGACTAAAAATAAGTCTTCAGATTGAATGGCGCTGTGTCCTTGGACAGTGGATGATAAGACCACCTTGCATTTCAGCAAACCTTTATATTTTCCCATGTACATTTGTATTCATCTACTTTGCTCATAAATAGCTCTTCAGTTTATTGGCGGGGCAGATATTATTCCATTTACAGTGAGAAGGAAATAGGCACAGACATTCTAAGTCAGCTGCCTGTTCAAGATTCTTTAGTCGTGAGTGGCAAAACTAGAACTTGCCCTCTGCCCAGCAGGCTTTGTATTTTTTCCCTGTGGCACTGCCAGGCCCCCCAAGTGAACATGTTTTAATCGTGATTGGGAAGAGAGCAGCACCTTGAGAGAAAATAAAAAATGCAACCAAATGTGTAGAGCCAGAAGGAAAAGAGTGCTGACTAGACACCATCCAATCAGCCGGTCCATTGAACAATTAAATGCCGCAGAACTGCCATTACATGCAAGGCCCCACTCTTGAAAGTCTTCCAGAAGTTTCAGATAATCTTCTGTTCTGAAGAGGGTTTCTAATGGGCCCGGCTGCCTTTCCCCTCACATAGCTACGGGAAGGAGGCTGAGGTCGAGACGGGTCTGGTTCTTGTCACAATGTCCACAAGATAAACACGAACCGTTCCGCGAGGGGGGAAACTAAAACCGTGATGCACGAGTGCTGATGAATTGCTCCGGGCTACAGTCAGCCCTCGGGGAGCACGCTGGGAATGGCAGGGTTGCATTTTTCTTCCCCATGGAGTGAGAGGCTGTGTATTTTTAGGGAAGAAATCAGCGTGGGATGCTGGAGGTTTGGCTGCCAGGAACACTCAGGATGGAAATTTCTCCACCGGGGTGTAATGGAAGAGAGATGAAGGTCTGCGGGAGGGGAGTCTATTTGCATGCCTCCTAAAGAAAATCTCTTGAGCCGGCTTCCTGATTCTTCGGCAGAAGTATCAGCCCCTCGCTCAAAGCTTTAGAGTTAATTAGGCAGTGGCCAGAGCTTCTGTTAAACGGCACCCTGGAATAGAATGCAATAACCCAGCTGTCGACACAGTGAGTAAGATGGCCCAGACTTGGGGGAGAGGGAAAGGAAATGGATAGGAAAGCAGGGCAGATGGCTGTGGAGGAGACTCTTTGGGGAACGTGGAAGTGAACTGGAGGAAAAGAACAAGTCATAATGATTTCCTTCGCCTCAGCCAGGCAAGTAGACGGTGGAACAACCAGGCGAATGAACAGCATCCTAATTATTAACAAAGAGAACCAGTTATAGCTCAAATGAGAATAAGAATTATCTGGAAAGCTACAGAAATCTAAACTGAGGCACTCTGATCCCTACATGATTCCACTGCTTGTATCAGAATCCACCTTTTTCCTAGTAGGAAACTATGCATTCCCCATCACTCCCTTTGGCTATCAGGAATGTATAAGACCTGTGAGAAAATAGGCCAATATGCCATTTGGTACCATTTTTATGTATTTTAAATGCATAACGTAGGCAACATAAGTATAGTTTATCTGTATATGAAAGCAAATTTTGCAAGCTACAATGAATGCATTTTAAGGCCGAACGTATATTTAGCTCTTTTTGGTAAATAGAGTTAACAAATGATATGCCTCTTAATTCGCTGTGTCCTGTAAACCTATGAATAAAAAGTAGCTCCTGCCTACTATGGCTTTGATCTCGGGTCTGCTTGCATATGGATACGGCCACCTGAGTCATAGAGTTGAAGGGATGCCTACCCGGGCAGCTGAGTGTGCCCATGTGTCTTTGTGGCTTGTTCCCTGTTTAAATGGAAGGTGGGCACCACAGGGCAGAGTTACAGTATGCAGAGCAGGGGACACCCTCGTTCTCTGCATGCAGACCGGGAGGGAAAGAGGGGGACTGGCTTAGCATGTCCAGGCTCTCTGTGCTAACTCACCACTCACATTAGGACACCTCCGTGGGCTCAGGTGGAGAGTGGAGCATGCAGGTTGGCGCTGGGAGTATTGGGCTCTTGGGGTCTCCTCCATGTGGAAGGAGACATCCAGAGTAGGAAGGAAGCCTTTCCCCCCGGCCCCCCGGCCCACCCCCCGGCCCCCGCCCTCCCCCTGCCTGCTCTCCCCGCCACCCCCCTTCCCCTCGCCCCTCCGCCGAACATCAAAACTCAGGACAAGGCAGTGTCTCCATCTTTGAGTGGATCTGGGGAGCTCAAGCTTCCCATTTCTTACCCTCTATTTGCAAGTTGTCCACAGAGGCCAGAGAAATGCATTTAACCACTTGAAAAGGATCATTTTGGTCTGAAAGAGACCAGACAAGGGAGATTTGCCAGGACCGGGAGAGGGCCCCTGGCAGGTGGCAGGAGTTGATAGAATTCAGTACAGCTCTGGTCTTGTTCACAATCCCGTTCTAGATTTTTATTGGCCATTTTATCTTCTCACTTTGAATATAGTGAATTCTAATGCCATTCCGGATCCTGAAGAAGAAACAGGTCAGCTTTAAATTTCTTTCAGTAACATAGAAAATCAGGAGAATTTTCTGGCATTTCATATTTTTAGCAAAGTGGAGTATCCGCTCCACTTACTAGAAATGACACTTTCTCCCACCGCTTCCATCTGCATTTATGTTCTGCGCGGACTGCTGAGCTAGCTTTTCCCCCTTAGGTTTACTGCCAATGCATTTGCATTTCGGTCACAATAAATACCCAGTAAAACCCTCTAATGAGTAGGTTCCAGAACGGTTCTCTCTTAGTATGGAACTACAGACAATGATTTCTAGTCAGGATGGCTCAGAGGAAGAAGAAAGTGGACTTTTGCAAAGAAAAAAGTTAATTCAAACAAATGCTCACTGAGCCATTAGGAAATTAAAGATGAAATTGACATGGGAATTGTATAGCCAATATAACCGTGGGTGTGGAAAGAGCCACAGCAGGAGGAAATTCTCATTTCAGAGGCTGTATCTGTGTCTGTCACCACTGTTTCCCTGGCACCCCTCATGTCACCTAGCGGCCAGTGGCCAGCAAACTGCAGCTCATGAGCAACATGCGGCTCTTTGGCCCCTTGAGTGTGGCTCTTCCACAAAATACCATGTGTGGGCGTGAACGTACAGTGTGATTGAAACTTCGTGGCCCATGTGCAGAAGTCGGTATTTTGTGGAAGAGCCACACTCAAGGGGCCAAAGAGCCACATGTGGCTCACGAGCCGCAGTTTGCCGACCACTGACCAAGCCCAAAAGGGTTCCCCAATCGATAGTCTCTGAAAGGATAAGATTGAATGAATGGTCAGCATTTGTTGAGTGTTGGGCACGAGGTAGAGGGTGTTACATGCCTTAACTCCACTTATTCTCACAACTATTCCATGGATCAGGCACTCTTACATCCCCATTTCACAGATGAGAAAATGGAGGCACAAAGAGGTTGAAGGATTCCCTGTGTTGTACAGCTAAAGACCAGCAAAGCCAGGAAGCCCTGGCCCAGAGCAGTTAGGTAACTTGCTCAAGTTTGTAGAGTGAATAAGACCTGGGATAGAAACACACCTAGTTCACCTCCAGAAGAGGGTGGGAAGTATGCAGGATGCCTGTTAACTTTGCATTTCAGATAAAAACCAAAAATTTAAAGCATAAGAATGTCCCAAATATTGCATGATATATACTTATGCAAAAAATTATTCTTTGTGTTTCTAAAGTTCAAGTGTTAACAAAGTATCCTGTATTTTTAAAATATATTTGTATTCATTTCAGAGAGGAAGGTGAAGGGAGAGAGAGATAGAAACATCCATGATGAGAGAGAATCATTGATTGGCTGCCTCCTGCACACCCCACACTGGGAATTGAGCCCTCAACCCAGGCATGTGCCCTGACCAGGAATGGAACCGTGACCTTCTGGTTCATGGGTCAATGTTCAACCATTGAGCAACACCGGCTGGGACATCCTGTATTTTTACTTGCTAAATCTGGCAACCCTAATCCAGAACCCACACTTTGTACATGTGAAAAAAAGGAAGCCCTTGAGAGCTAAGCCAGCTGTTCAAAGTCAAGTAGCAAGTGAGTAGCTCAGCAGGAATTCAAACCAGAGCTGTCTGACTCTCAAGTTGAGACCAAATAATGCTTTAGACAGGCCAGGCTAAGAAATGAAGTCAAATCATGCATTGCCTCACACACCACTCAAGCCTGCAAAAAATTAAGCTTCTGTATTTGTCCTCTGATCAACCTAATATATTTTATGGACTCCACCCCACTGGGTAATGAGTAAACGAAATGTAAGTCGATCCAGTAAACTCAGTCTAATGAACAATTTAAATAGTCTCCTTAGATCATTGAGGCTGTGGTGAGTCAAACACATTTTTCAGATTTCCACTCTCTGGGTTTCTCCTTCAGGGGAACTTTCAGGGACCTTGTGGCAGAGGGAGAGGGGTAGGGAAGATTCCTCACATGCATGTTGAATTT